TTAACGCTAACCCAGGGTTAAAAGTTAACCGAATTATAACTTTTTCTTCTATACAAATGTTTTTTGCTGCCCTGTTTTGTGTATATGGTGATTATTAAAACTCAAGACAGAAGGCCAAACAATATACAAAGTTACATCAAATCAAAATTCTACCTTTTCCTGGGTTACGTTAATTTGGCTCTGAACAACCCGGCCCAGGAGCTATGCTTTTAGGTTGGCCTAAATCCTGGGAGGGGTACTCCCTTATATGGGCTATATAGGTATGTGCGGCCCCAAAGGGTATGGTTTTTCAGCCGGTTTGGTCAAAAATAGAGTATAGATTTTAGCTGATTTTGGTCATGAATAGGGTATGGTTTTTGAACTCTAGCCTTCATATGGGTAAGGTTTTAAGAAGCCACTTTTTCATCATTATCGAAAAGAAAAACAACAAAAGCCCTTCACAAATTAAGTTTATGGTAACTTAACACTGGTGTGAACTAGGAAACCAATCATACCGCAGGTTTGAAACAGGGTTTTTATTTAAGGGTCAGGTCATAGGGTTTCGAATTTTAAGTCAGGTCATAAAAAGAGTAGGGAATATCGCAGATTTTGGTCATAAATAGAGTAAGAGTTTTGGGAAGCAGGCCGCACAACCCCTCTCAATTTTTCTGGAAGTAACCCCTCCCGGGGGGGGGGGGACCTAAATCTCTATATTAGTGATTAAGTCCGGTGTGTTACTGAGTAACATCAATGCGTCGACAAATTTTCATGAGACTTTAATAGTTGCTTATTTGTGAATGAAAGCTTGTGTTCAAAATAACGCACAAGTTTGACGACTGAACTAAACCGAAGATTGAAAGAAAACACAGAAATACCTGACAATCCGTTTTAGTAGACTGATGCAAATAAATTAAGCTTAAAGAGACTTTTACGTCTAGACCAAAATTCAAGCAAGTGTTACCATGGTGAATATTTGGAAATTATTCAACGATACACACTAAATTTCAGTTGCTGACCAACAAAAAAGTAACTATAGCTCAAATATCACATTACCTCGGTTCCTTGGCCATTTCCTTCGCTGGAATAGTGTTATTTTCTCTTTTCTTCGAAACCGACACAAACTTGGCGTTTTCACACAGCGGCAAAACTCATTCACTTACGTTCGCGCCTTCCCTTGACAACGCCAACGTGACGTGAAACCCATGCACGTCACAGTGGTGGGTTTAGAGAGCAGACGTCGCCGTCGTCATATCGGAAGGTTTCTATTGACAGAAATTAATACCGCAGGGTTCAACGGCCGAAGCATCAAATGCTATTCAACAAGGCACCTCCACGTCCTTGCGCAAGAAAACTATCAGTTTTCACCAAGATCTTGCGCTCACAATCTAATTTTATGTTGATACCTCGCGAACTGCTCTTTCAATTTTCATTTCAAGCGAAAAAAGAAAACTTTGAAGGCTGAATTTGTCTTGCAAGCAGACGTTCGATTAAGATTGCTGATTTGAACGCTGTTTAGATACCATTCTGCTAAATGGATGGATCTATTTAATTATGTAGTAATTTTTGGAGAATCTTTCTTGTGGACTTGTCGATTTAAAGAAACATAACCTTCCTTGAGCCACTTCAAAAGAATTTTGGTAATTAATATTAAACTGAAAAAATATATATTTCAAATCGAATAAAACGAATTTGTTTAAAGAAAAGTGGCAGATGTTTAAGGAAACAATTTGAAATAGTAATTAACGAAGACAACGCTATTAAGGAAAATCGTTAAGTTAAATAAGTATGTAGAATCGTTTTTCTTAATTATTTCAATTTGGTATCATTGTCAACTTAAATTAACGAAACTTTATTCATTCTTCTGTAACTTAATTGTTAAAAGAAGAATTTTAATTGTTTTAATCGTGAAAATAAAGAAAGAAAGAAAGAAAGAAAGAAATTGCTAGATTGAGGCTAGAATTGGCTTTATGATTAGCTAGATTAGCCATGTTTGAAAATTCTGTAAAGAGTTGCGCGCGTGGCTCGTGCCGTTTACACGCTTTTAACGCATGAATTGAGAGATCACTTAAACGAACTTTTAATGGTTTTCTTTTCGTCCCTTGTTGAGATCACTTCATTTGTCATGTGTATTTACTAAGACAATAATTCTTTTCAATCTCGGTGAATAGCGGTGGAATGTTTACCTTGCCGCTCCATCACTCGGTAAATATTCTGCCTCTATTCACCTGGATTTCAAAGATATAATATGATAATAATAATAATACGAAATTTCAATACCGAATTAGATCATGTTTTCTTCTCAAGTTTTGGCACTTTGATGTAGCCGACTGTATTCTGCATATGTAGCAGCTTCTATTAATATTTGAAATTTGTCATTAATCAAGATCTTTCCTGTTTAATAGAAAAGGGCAGATTCTTTACCGGAAACAGCGAAGGACGATGTGGGAAAAAAATGTAAAGAAGAAATCGCCTATCACAGACAGGAGGGTTTCGAAAGAGCCATTGACCACCAGGAACACGTTCTAAAAATTGCCCAGGAACTAGGAGACAAAACTAATGAAGGACGCGCCTATAATAATCTTGGCAACGCCTATCAACGTCTGGGGGATTTCAAAACAGCCATTAAGTATTACGAACGTCATCTAAACGTTGCAAAACAAGTGGGAGATAAAGCTGGAGAAAAATGGGCCTATGCTAATATTGGCATCGCTTACGATAGTCTGGGGGACTTCAAAACAGCCATTGACTACCATAAACGTTGTCTTGATATTGCCAAAGATGTGGGAGACAAAGCTGGAGAAGGAATGGCCTATAGTAATCTTGGCACCTCTTATCAAAGTCTGGGTGCTTTCAAAACAGCTATTGACTACCATAAACGTCATCAAAAAATTGCCAAAGAAGTGGGAGACAGAGCTGGAGAGGAAGTGGCGTATGCTAATCTTGGCAACGGTTATTTTAGTATGGGGAATTTTAAAACAGCCATTGACCACCAACAACGTTATCTAGAATTTGCCAAAGAGGTCGGAGACAAAGCTGGAGAAGGAGGGTGCTATGGTAATATTGGCGTCGCTTATCAAAGTCTGGGTGATTTCAAAACAGCCATTGACTACCATAAACGTCAACTAAAAATTGCCAAGGAAGTTAGAGACAAAGTTGGAGAAGAAAGAGCCCATTCTGGTCTTGGCAACGCTTATCGAAGTCTGGGGGATTTCAAAACAGCCATTGCCTACCACAAAGGTCATCTAAAGTTTGCCAAAGAAGTGGAAGACAAAGCTGGACAAGGACTAGCCTATTGTAATCTTGGCAACGCTTATTTTTGTCTGGTGGATTTCAAAACGGCTATTGACTACCACAAACGTTGTCTTAAAATTGCCAAGGAAGTGGGAGACAAAGCTGGGGAAGGAAGGGCCTATGGTAATCTTGGCAACGTTTATCAAAGTCAGGGGGATTTCAAAACAGCCATTGAATACCATAAACNTCTTAAAATTGCCAAGGAAGTGGGAGACAAAGCTGGGGAAGGAAGGGCCTATGGTAATCTTGGCAACGTTTATCAAAGTCAGGGGGATTTCAAAACAGCCATTGAATACCATAAACAGCAACTTGATATAGCTAAAGATGTGGAAGACAAAGATGGAGAAGGAAGGGCCTATAGTGGTCTTGGCAACGCTTATGATAAACTGGGGGATTTCAAAACGGCTATTGACTACCATAAACGTCATCTCAAAATTACCAAAGAAGTGGGAGACAAAGCTGGGGAAGGAGGAGCCTATGGTAATCTTGGCAACGCTTATTGTAGTCTGGGGGATTTCAAAACGACCATTGACTACCATAAACGTCATCTTAAAATTGCGAAAAAAGTGGGAGACAAAGCTGGGGAAGGAAGGGCCTATGGTAATCTTGGCAACGCTTATCAAAATGTGGGTGATTTCAAAACGGCCATTGACCACCACAAACAGCGCCTTGATATAGCTAAAGATGTGGGAGACAAAACTGGAGAAGGAGGGGCCTATGGTGGTCTTGGCAACGCTTATCATAGTCTAGCGGATTTCAAAACAGCCATTGACTACCATAAACGTCATCTTAGAATTGTCAAAGAAGTGGGAGACAAAGCTGGGGAAGGAGGGGCCTATGGTAATCTTGGCAACGCTTATCGAAGTGTGAGTGATTTCAATACAGCCATTGACTACGATAAACGTCATCTGGAAATTTCCAAAGAAGTGGGAGACAAAGATGGAGAAGGAAAGGCCTATGGTAATCTTGGCATCGCTTATCAAAGCTTGGGGGATTTCAAAACAGCCATTGACTACCTTAAACGTCATCTAAATATTGCCAAGGAAGTGGGAGACAAATTTGGAGAAGGAAGAGCCTATGGTAGTCTTGGCAACGCTTATCAATGTTTGGGGGATCTCAAAACAGCCATTGACTACGATAAACGTTATCTAAATATTGCCAAAGAAGTGGGGGACAAAGTTGGAGAAGGAAGAGCCTATGGTAATCTTGGCAACGTTTATCAAAGTCAGGGGGATTTCAAAACAGCCATAGAATACCATAAACAGCACCTTGATATTGCTAAAGATGTGGGAAACAAAGCTGCAGAAGGAGGGGCTTACTGTCATCTTGGCAACGGTTTTCAAAGTCTGGGGGATTTCAAAACAGCCGTGGACTACTATGAGGCTTATCTAAAAATTAGCGAGGAAGTGGGAGACAAAGCTGCAGAAGGAGGGGCTTACGGTAATCTTGGCAACGCTTATCAAAGTTTGAGGGATTTCAAAACAGCCATCGAGTACTATAAAAGCCATCTAGAAATTGTTAAAGAAGTGGGAGACAAAGCTGGGGAAGGAATGGCCTATGGTAGTCTAGGCAACGGTTATCGAAGTCTGGGGGATTTCAAAACAGCCATCGAGTACCATGAACGTCAACTTAAAATTGTGAAAGAAGTGGGAGACAAAGCTGGGGAAGGAAAGGCCTATGGTAGTCTTGGCAACGCTTATTTTTGTCTGGAGGATTTCAAAACAGCCATTGAGTACCATGAACGTGCTCTGGAAATTGCTAAAGAAGTGGAGAATAGACATGAAACTGCCACCACGTTCTTTAATCTTGGTAGTAGCTGTAAATTAGAAGGGTCCCTGCCCAAAGCTCTTGATTGCTTCCTTTCCAGTGTGAGAATGTTCAACATCATTAGGCATGATCT